ACTATACTTAAATAAATACATATGTGGACAATTACCTGTAAGATGGTTCTCTACCCCAGGCTAGCCTAAATAAAATTTTTATCCAAATCAATTGATGAATGTGGTCAAGACCAAGATGGGTCCTATTCCGAAAATTAAACATTTTATGCGAAGAGATTTCTACCCCCTTAGAAACCAAGACGCGAAATAAGGGCTAAGAAATAAAAAAGTGACCAAGACCCAGAAATAGCTTAAATCATATGACTGTGATACCAAAACGTGATAATTTTTTGCATGGATGGTTTTTTCTCAAATTACCAGCATTGGCCAAAATTAGTATAAAAAATATGGTTAGAATGTAAAATATACTTGAAATCTGGTTGTAAACTTATCCGGGGGCTATGACTCACATCATAATCTGAAAGAGCGATTTAAGGTATCTTGAAAGTTTAGAAGAATTTCTGGAAGGATAGAAATCCTTTTCTTATTTAATGTTTACTTCGCTTTATTCAGTATTTCACTGATTACAGTCTCAATTAATTTTGCATTTTGAGTTCTTATTGGGCGGATTATTGTCATATAAAAGAAGTAGGTCTACGTTTTTCAATGATTCCCGCTTTATCGGTAAATTTTTTGTTTGTTTAAATGTGTTCGCATCTTCCAGCTAAAGCACGATGTAGGTCCTGGAATTGAAAGCTAGATTCCAATTTTATACATGAATGAATGAGCATCGTATTGACCACCCATTTCATTCTTAATATTATTCATTCAGAATTCAACTTCAATGTAGTGTGTCAAATTGAAAAAATGTCAAGCCAAAAAGATTTTTATTGGAATATTTTCAAGATTTTAAAATATTTTCAATGGTATAGTCATTTTTCGTGATTTTGAAAAAGTAATTATCCTTTAAGTATTATCCTTTAATTATTTCGACATCGGCTATTTAGTTTCGCCACCACATAATCCATACACTACAAATGTACATTAGAAAATAGTACGATTTTTTCCTTTTCTGCCAATTCCAAATTTGTCTGAACCGTTAAAATCAGATCAGCGGTTCTTGAGGTATAACTAACACAACTTTCTTATATATATATACTAGCTGGCCCGGTCCGCGTTGCCGGCCCGTAGTTTTTGTCTATTATGCATATATTCCCAAGCATAATTATTCACAGATATGACTGATATAAGTGTTCACGTACAGGTCGATTTAAAGTGTTTTAAAATACCTGTACCCATTTTTAACCAGTGGGCTTCAATATTTAAACCGTGGGCTTCAACTGTGTGGATGTGCTATACAAATATATTAAAAAGTATATATCAATCTTATCGCCATATAAGGGATCAAATTAATTTTTAATATGGTAAAAATCGTAGCAAAATCTTCCAGTCAAATGAGCAGTAATTTGGAATTTGCTGTATTTTGTATACTACATAATTGAGGGCTGAATGATTTAAGAATAGCCAAAGTTAATTACTTTTTAAACCCATTAGCAACTTAGATTGTGCATTACAGTCCTCATAAGTCCCCCTAACCATGTCAGTCTGTTTGTCCGCCAAAAGGTGGACTTGAGAGGGTATTATAACATGGATAAAAATTCTAAAATTTGTAGATATGTTGAAATTTTAGTGTAAGATTTTCACCCCCCTAATACGCATTATTAGCCAAATTCTTTGAAATGTGGTTAAATTAGGAGGTACCTTCTTTATATGGGCACTACTCCGAAACATCGACCTACATTGAAAACTTTCTTCTACCCCTTATAATCCAAGATGACAAATAGAGGCCAAATCAAAAATATAGCAGAACAATATAGCATGTCATAGCATTTCGCGTGATTTAAATAAGTAAAAATAGTTTTATCCACCTCATAATTGAGGGCAGAATGATAAGATGGGAATTAATTTTATTTGCCATTTAAATTGTAAGTTGGAGACCCCTTAAAGTCCATATTTTCATCATAGGATAATTCAATGATAATTAAACAAATATTCGGTCCCGTGCTACTTTCTTATATTTGTAATTTGTTCATGTTTCCACAATTTATTTCATATGGATGCACATCCCAAATCTACGTTCCCAACCAATATTCTCTTGGGGGTTAAAAATTCAATAGAATACAAAATTTTCTTTTCTGACCACACATTAGATGTGAAAGTGGACTTGGGGATACTCCAATGTGGGGACTTTACTTAAATAAATTCCTATGTGGCAATTATCTGTATGATGGTTCCCTACCCCAGGGTGGCATAAATAAATTTTTTTAGCCAAATCAATTGATGAATGTGGTCAATACCAATATGGGCCCTACTCTGAAAATTTCAAATTTTATGCGAAGAGGTTATCTACCCCCTTAGAAACAAAAATGTCAAATAAGGGCCAAAAAATGAAAAAAGTGACCGGCCAAGACCCCAAAAATAACTTAAATCATAGATGGTTATATAAATATGAAATCGGGTTGTTCCCTTATCCATGAGTTATGATCGATATAAAGACCTGCAAAAGTGATTTTAGGTATTTTGAATGTTTGGGAAGAATTTCTGGAAGGATATAAAACCTTTTCTTACTAAAAGTCCCATTCGCTCTACTATTTTGCACCTTTTATTTCAATATTGGTATATTACTTATTATTCTCCCAAAGAATTTTGCATTTTGAGCTCTCATTGGACGGATCATTGTCACGCTTTGAAATGAGCCCCATTAAGCTTTTTCGGTCATTTTTGTTTGTTTAAACGTGTTCGCATCTTCCAGCTAACCCACGATGTAGGCCCTGGAGTTGAAAGGTAGATGTCAGTTAACATCCTATTTCGCACTTATTCAATTTTTTTAGTGAAAAATTATTCTTTATTTTGTTCACAAAAAAAATTGACAAAAAAAAAGAATAACAAATTGAAAAAGTCTTCAACTTTTTCGCTGATTTTTTACAGCAAATGTTTTAAGATCCTTCCTTACAAAGTTTGTCAATAGAATGTACTATTACTTTAAAATTCGATTCCATTGAAAATGTTTTTTTTTTTGATTTTTGCAATGAGATCTCTTTTTCATGATTTTTCAGCGATTTAGAAAAAGTAATTATCTTTTAACTTTGGTGTGACCGCGTTAAATTATTTCGATATCATCTATTCCGTTTCGCCACCACATAATTCGCTACTACACTTCCATGTAACCCGCCATCAATTTCAGTTCTCAAGAAATCAAGTCAATTAAATAAATTGGTATAAATATTCGAATTCAAAATAAAATATAAAAAAACACTACAAATGTACATTAGAAAAAAGTAAGTCAAAATGGAAAAAAATCATGCAAAATAAAACATTACTATTGTACATTTGAAAAGTCAAAATGAAAATGTTAATATATCACATTTTTACGCGATTTTTTTGGATATTATCCTTTTCGTAGAGTAGACAACTCCGAATTTGTGTGAATCGTTAAAATTAATCCAGCGGTTCTTAAGTTATAAGCGTAGTAACTAACACAACTTACATTTATATATATAGATATATATATATAAGTTAAGTATTTTGGGTTTTTGTATGGTGTTGTTACACCATCTTTATTCTAGTTCTCTTATCAAACTAACTTATAAAGATACTTAAAGCTATGAATAAACTTATAATTATTGTTTTCTACTGCTGAATCTGCGCCTTTTTGTGGAGTATTATATTGCAATACGTTGAATAAATGCTCGTATGTTTGGTGTTGGCTAAGCAATGATGATGAATATAATTGCTGACACTGTGCCTCGTGTGGAGTGTTGCATTGCAATATGTTGGACGAACAATTATAATAGTTCGCCATCGTTTGACCAGTTCGCCATCGTTTTAGGGTGGGACAATGGAGTTTGTGGTAACTCCTCCCCTACTTAAGTAAGGGCCGTCCTCGGGTCTTTTGTAGCTATCAATGACAGCTTGAATAACATCGCGTTTTGCTGTTTGTCTTCGACACAATTTGAATGAAATATAAAGCCTGATGATTAAAATAATGCTTATAAGTCCAGAGACCGCTGGACCGGTTATTGTCCTGTTCTTCACGACATCGATGTGTTGTAAGTTTTCAAAATTTAATCTTTGAAGATACGGCAGGCTCAATATCTCTTGATGACTTGTGATATTAACTATAGTAGATATAGCCGACGTCGGTACCATCTTCTGGTTTTTGTATATGGAGTCATTAATACTGATTTCATCTTCAAACGTAATCAAATATTTACCGGTAATTATTGTTACGGCTCCTTCTGGGTTTTTTATAGTGGCTCTGTTGTCGTTTATTATCATGACGCCATCATCGACATTCTCCAATGGTTCAAGATGACTTAGTCTTGTGCTGCAGTGTGCTATAGTACCCGAATGAAGCTGTTGAGCACAGGTTGGTTGAGAATACTCTTGACAAAATGATGAAGTTAGCGTTGAGGTACAGTTTCCTATTGCAATTTATACGATTTCCACAATTAGCGACGCTTTTGGTTTCAGCAAGATGTAGTATTGTGCCGTTATGTTGGACGGGGTGCATAATTATTTTCTTACATACTAATTTGGGCTTGGGATATTTAAAAAGAAAATGCAACATTTCATTATACAGTAGGACCTTAATTAGTGATACTTCTAGCAAGTCTCTTACAGTTGTATTTGTTGAACTTATTTGTAATAATTCATTTACATCATCGGAATATAATAGCGTAGGATTAATTACATCTGCTTTTACAAGAGTGATTGATAGCATTCATGTTTCGATTTCCGCAATTGTAATTCTGTTTCGAGCAAGTAGTATTTCGTATAAATACCCTGTATGAATTTGTCCAGGTTTAGCATTTCCAATAATTTTGTTGACAATATCTGTTACCTTATTTATCTGATCCTGTGTTTTAGAGTTGATTGAAACCTGTTTGTTAATTGAATTTATAAGTTCCTTCTGTCGAAATTTCTGTTCCTCAAAGTCGTCAAAATCGGGAGTCCCCGCATTTATTTTTAGTGCTGTTCCCAAGATGTTAATACTTCTCGCGTGTCTGTGGTGAACATACAATGATTGTAGGAGGGAGCGTATTCGCTTAATATCAGACTCGGTTATTTTCACCATATGCGAGGAGGGGAAATGTTCCATAAGTTTTTCGGTTTCGTCCGCAATTTCTAAATATATTGTCAGATTTGATGTATGTCGTAAGTAGTCTTGCCAAATTATAACATCCCCATCTTCAATCGGTATGTAGTCGGAGCCAGAATAGTCAATTAATTTTGTGGTAAGGGGTCTGATAAGCAACATCATCAAAGTCCTAAAATTTGTTTAAAAGAGTTGTTAATTATAATCGGATTATACAAATTTTGAATTATCTTATGTTGTCCTTGTGGACCACCCTGCCTCTAATAAGAACTGTAGTTCCTAGATCGGCTTCTATTGTTTCTTCAGAGTATAACGGGGTCAATTTGTTTCCTAGCCTTTTCTTGTTTTTCACTAGTACGGACTCACCAACTTCAAATGTTCTATGTTTGCCTGGAGGCATTGTTTCTATTTAGTACGGTCTGTTGAGCTTTTGAAATTTTTTCTTTAATTTCCTCCCTTAATTCGGATGAGGAAAATTGGAAAATATCTATCGGTCGTTTGTTGGTTATTGAGTGAATAGTCCGATTATATTTTATGGTTGCTAGTAAAATAAGGTCAACTGTGCTTTCCATTTTCTTTTCTAATTTGAGGCATCTAGCTATTTCAGAAAGTGTGCTATGAAAGCGACTTGTCCATTTGATGTGCTATGAAGGGGAGCAGCGTTTTCCACTTTAACATTAAATTGGTCCCGTAACAGGGACATAATAGTCTCAGATTTTAGTGAAGGTTCGTTGTCATAGTAAATATTTTCCGTGTGTGGAAAAAGATACATTAGTTGTATAATCGGACCTTTTAAATCTATATGTTGAACAACCGCAAACTTTGAAAATTTATCGATGCATGTTAGGAAAAATTTTTTATCCGTTGAAAATCTATCGATATGAAGCATTTCGCCTACGTAAGATGGTGTTGGGGTTACCCCAAGCTCATGTTTCATAGGGTGTCTGTCGTATTTAGCCCTCGAACAGATTTTACAATTTGCAGCAATTTCATTTGCCAACTTTGCCATTTTTGGAAAATAATAATCAGAAAGTATCTGCTTAACATTTTCCTGAGCTGCCCTATGGGCACGGTAATGTTCGATGGCAATAATTTCCCTCTGTTCATTTTTATCAAAAATGTCCTGGACAACATTTTTGCAGTGCCAAAATTTAGTAGCGGGAAAGTATCTAACCAATTCATGCTGAATACAGGCTAAAGTTGGCAGATCGCAATGTATTGCATTTACGACATTTGTATTGATCACTGATTTTACTTCGTTTAGCAATGTTTCCCTGCTTGTGAAGTCAATCATATGTCGAGTCTTCTCAGTAAAGACAATAAAATTTCTTTTAAGTAGGAAATTTGCCTCCCGGAGGAAAATTTGGTTCCTAAAGCAATTGACCGGTTTTTCTGTAGACTCAATGTTATAGGTCAAAAGATATTTCGCTGTGTACCGTTGCGAGATCTGAGTGATTATCCTCTTCCAAAGTATTCAAAGATTGAGGCTCGAAATGTTTCTCGGTGCGCATAGAAGCATGAAGCATAACTTCTTCAGAAGCAAGGATTTCCTTTAATTTACTAAAGGTCTGCATTTGCTCTTCATTAAAATTTATTTTCACCCTTTTTGATTGAGAAGCACTAATCTTGCCGTTTTCGCCCTTTAGAATATCTGTTAGCAGCTTGGCGGTAGATGCGAAATCTTTAATAAAGCATCTGTAATAACTTGCCAATCCTAGAAACGAGCTTACGTTGAAGAGTGTAGAAGGTGTTTTATAATTAAGGATGGCCTTTACTTTTTCCGGGCTCGTTCTGATGCCATTTCTGGACACAAAAAAACCGAGGTATTCGACACTTTCCCGAAAGAAATGTGATTTTTCCCGAGAAATTCTCATATTGGCCCCGTATAATCTCTCCAGTACCCACTCAATATGTTTCACATGGTCTTCTTCGGTTTCAGAGAAAATAATGACGTCGTCGACGTAAACATAGCATGACTTTCCAATTTGCTCTCTCAGGACATCGTGGATGGCCCTTTGGAAAATGCTGGGGGCATTCTTCAGACCAAAAGGATGACGGCAAAATTCATATTTTCCATTTCCAACTGAGAATGCAGTTTTTTCACGATCTTGTTCAGATAGTGTTATTTGATGGAAACCTGATTTAAGGTCAAGTGTCGTAAAAAATCTTGCTTTGCCAAGATTTGAGAGACGGGTATTTGGGATATTGGGTATTTGTCATCGATCGTAATGCTGTTCAGTTTCCTGAAGTCTATAACTAATCGTTTTTTGGAATTACCGTATTCATCCTTGCCTTTTTTATCAACAACCCAAACGGGATTATTGTAGGGTGATCTGGAAGGCCGTATTATGCCGTTATGCAGAAGTTCTTTTACTTCATTGTTAACAAAATCTGCTACACCCATGGGATATGGGTATAGTTTTGTATAAACGGGATCACTAGAATTAGTTCTAATGGTAGCTACAATATTCGTATTATATGGAATGATTCTTTGGGGTTTGCAAAAATACCCGAAAATTTTTTTATCACTTCCTTAAATTTTTCCGCAACGATTTGAGGTATTTTCATGTCCTCAACTTGTGTAAAATTTACATTTACGCATTTTAAAAATTGGATCTTTTCGATCCCAACTATAGTTTTAAGTTCCCTACTTTCAAAATTCAACGTTGCACCTGTCTGTGTTAATAGATCCAGGCCAATTATACCATCAAACGTTGATAGTGATGGTAAGATAAAAAAATTACTATTGGTTTGAAAAATATTTATGGTACATTTTTCCTTAATTGCTGTGAAACCATGAATAGATTTCACTATGAACGGGTTGGCTACGGGAATAATACCTTTTAAACCTTTTATAGGTTTGATATTATTCTTCGAAGCCCCCGTATCAATAAGCAATTTTATGATTTTCCCTGCCACTTTCCTTTCTATAAATGGTAGCAGGGAGTTGTGCCTAAAAAATTAATCTGGTCAAATTCATCCCCAGCATCGATTACAATATCGTCTGCTTCGGTTTCTGCCATTTGATGGTAGTCTTGACCACATCCGGACTCATCTTGAGAAATGTGATTAATTCTCTGATGTTTTAGCCCAGTGTATTTTGCCGTACCACTGTTGGGTCTTTTCACGGCCTGCCAATTTGGTCGATTTTGGAACGGCTGTGGTAGGTTCTGATTTTGATCGTATTGATTCTGAGGTAAGCCCTGTGTAGATGGCTTGAATTTAGTTGATTGTCTGAATCTCATAGATTCATCGACCTCCATGGGTTCTATTTGATTATTTTCGTTCTTGTTTGAACGATTTGAATTTCTTTTAGAAAAGTACGGATTTTTACTTTGAACATTTCCGTGTGCGAAATGTGTTTCATACTTATACTTATCTCTGTCCTCGCGTGATCTAGCGAAGTTTGACGCGAATTGGTATCTTTCCCGATTTGACTCAACCTCTTGGGCCAATGCCAATGCTGATGGTAAGTCGGATGGACGAGCGGAAAATAATACATTACTCATATATTTTTTTGTGCCAGAAATGAAAACGCGTAACGCATCCATTCTGTATTTTTCGTTCATACAATTTGCGACAACACTTTCATATGACATAGTGGGTTTGTTGGTAAGTAATGTCAGTTTCTTTACTACTTCATCATAGAATTCTAGTAACGTCATATTACCCTGACGAAGAGTGGACAACTCTTGCTCAATTAAGTAAATTGGACGCTTATCCGAATAAGTAAAGTCCAGTCGGGCAATAATAGCCTTAAAATTTAACACTGTATTGAATGAGGATAACACCATATCGGCTTGACCCTTTATTTTATTTCGAATTATTGCTACTGCCTGATAGTGTTTAGAACTTCCATCGTAAGGCTCGAACAACTTATAAGCTGTATGAGCAGCCTGGCGCCATGAAACGTACGTTTCACGCTTGCCTTCAAAGTCTGGTAAGGATTTTACAACCTCTAAGGACTCATCACACCGAATTTCTTTGTTAATTTCAACATCCTTATAAGGCACAACTTCAGGAGTCGATAAAGAGAATTTTTCAATTTTATTATCAATATCGGAAATTGGTTTTTCAAATTGCTGTCTTTGAACTTTCAAAGCCGCCGAAATGGCAGAGTCAACAAGCACAAGTATGCTTTCTGCGGTAGTTGCCATTATATTATTATTTTCAGATCTTTTGTTTACAGGAATTTGATTGAAGGAATCTATTATAAATTCTACTTCTTGGTCAAGATCGCGATTATTCATTAATATCAGCAAAAAAACGAACAGGCTTTTTTTTTAAAAAATTTCACGAATTTCAAAAAAAAAAAAAAAAAAAGCGGAATTAATTTTAAATATTATCGAAACCAATTTCTACTAGCAGCCACTCACTTCTTATTAAGATCTTTATGATTCACTATATAATATTTATCATACACATTTTTCCAAACACTCGATTTGTGTTATTTAATATTAATTTTAATAATAAATGTATTATTCAATATTTACTATCTTACAATCGTATAAGTAGAGACTCCATTTTATGTTGTTGGTGTCCTCTCCGCTGATGATGTTGTCGCCGTTGTTATTGTTGTCCTCTTGTGTTTCTTATTTCTACGCAGACCAGACTGATTTCGAAGCCTGGTGACGCACCTCCTTTCCAAGTTTTCACTTTTGAAGTTTTTTATAAACTTGTTTTATACTTATTGTTTAACCCTGTTGGGCGCCAGTTAAGTATTTTGGGTATTTGTATGGTGTTGTTGCACCTTCTTTATTCCTGTTCTCTTATCAAACTAACTTATTAAGATACTTAAAGCTATGAATAAAGTTATAATTATTGGTTTGTACCGCTGACTCTGCGCCTTTTTGTGGAGTATTATATTGCAATACGCTGAATAAATGCTCGTATGTTTGGTGTTGGCTAAGCAATGATGATGAATATAATTGCTGACACTGTGCCTCGTGTGGAGTGTTGTATTGCAATATATTGGACGAACAATTATTATAGTTCGCCATCGT